TTAGAGTTGGTTGTCACCGAAAGCTGACAGTCCCAGTCGGCCTTAATAGCTTTCTATCATTTCATCCCAAGCAAGGTGACAATGCCATTAAGATGCAAGACATTACTGAAAGAGAAAGAGAATGTGAAAAATTTACTGAGGAGGAAGATCAATGAAAGAAAATATTTCAGGAAGACAGTCGATGGCGATAGGCGTTGCATTTGTGTTTTTGAATATTGTCGGTGGCAGGAAAGCAAGAAACAGGAAGGGATATTCACAGGTGAGAAATCCGAGAAAAGAAACTATTAGAATAGAACTTACGGTGACATCTGGTTATTTAAACAGCAAAACCATGAGACCTAATTGCCAATCTAGTAATACGCTTAAATTCACTTGGTCCAGATACCAAGGAGGAAAGTACATTAGAAGGATTGCCATGAAAATATTTTTTAGAAAGGACACAGGGAAGCCACGTCTCAGCGGAAATGAAGTGGCAGAAGTCGAGATAGCAAGTCAGGACCGATAACTTTACAGACCGTTGATTGGGTGGGAAGAAGAGGATCGATAACTTACTGTTATACTTGACGTACCTATTCTATTGTTAATAGACTCTCCCACACATAATAAGTAGTAGTAGTAGCGGTCGACAGTTGGGCTCAGTGGTATTGAGTGAGTCAGTTTATGGCGGACATTGAAGTATCAACCATCACAACTAGATTGCTGCGTCATTAACTCTTATTTCAAGTTCCTAACGTTTTGTACGTCGGACCATTTTTAGGACCGGCTTAGCGAAATGCAAGCCTCCACTGTGAAAACTACTCTACAACACTTACCCAAGAGTTTTCGCGCGAAAATGAATGTAACAGAATCGATTGGAATCAGAATTTCGTTTGCCGTTTTCTCGTTTTAAGCTGTTTTCCTTTACACGACCCGCATAAACTGTTCTCAAACGTTATCAGCACAACGAAGAAGTCCTTCCTTAAATTCCGATGTTTTCTCATATTATGGGAAGTGTGTCAAGCCTAGAACGCCCTCGTAAATATTTTCGCAGCTTGTAGGTCATTGAATTTTCAAGTTAAAAAATAATCTATTGTTTTGTGATTAATTATTATTAAGATATGTGATTTCTTTTTGGAATTGTGTCTCTGTCGTGAGTTCCGTCCTTTCAGGTTTTTTCGCAAAGATATATTTTCATAGATATACATTCGACTCTCCGGTCGTATTCGACGTATGAGGGTCGAGCAGCTCAGTTCCTAGCCAGACACCAGCATACATGATTTAATTATAGAGTTGAAAGCTTTGTGCAGAACCAACCACACATTTTGAAGAGCCGAATACAAAGACCTGGTGCACTACGTGCCACGAGGTCCCCAAACGATACTCTGCAGGTTTTGAATACAGAGTTGTCCTTCTCGTGGACCAGTTGTCATACAAGGCGATAGCATCCAGTGTGTCCCGCTGTTTACCCATAGCTGAAGGGAGAAGAAGAGGGTTCATAACTTTCCCAAGAGTATTAGCATGTAATTGAATGTAAAGATTCGACTGAATTCAAACTCGACTCTCCGATTCCTCAATCGAAGTCGCTTTTCATTACTCCACCGTATATATATATATATATATATATATATATATATATATATATATATATATATATATATATATACTCCTCATACTTACACTCTCTCTAAATTCTGTTTTTATTTCCGGAGTTGTTTTTTCTGTTTTCTTTTTTTTGAATTTGTAGGTCTGATGAATTGATCGTATTTACGATTCCAATGGAATAAATTATGACCATGGAATATTAGTGTTTAAGCCTTTTTATTATATCCTTACTCTGTCCTGGACATTGAGTTCGACCTGGATTCTTCCTCTTGGAATTTTTATTAAAAAAAAAATAAAAAATAAAAAATTATACATGTATGGGTATTTATATATTTTGCATATGTATGTATATTTACCACTAATATTATCTCTCTCTCTCTCTCTCTCTATATATATATATATATATATATATATATATATATATAAAAAAAAAAAATATATTGCTGGTAATTTTTTAAACTCTAAAAATGTGTTGCTGGAATTTTTAGTTAAAAGATGTATTTTTATACTTTTATAGATTTTTGGCCTTAGTTTGGGGGTTCACTATTTGCCCATAGTTGGGACCCTAACAGGTGCTACTACTGCAGGTTAGGCTGAACCTGGGAGCAACAACAATTAAGAAGTGGTTCCAGGCTTCTCAAAATCACCTGATCAGAGGTCTTGCTGCCGGCTGTAGTTTATCATTATACACAGGATGTCTTATGATTACAGTCATTAGAGAAATTTAATTGTTTAAATTATTTCATGATAGATATAAATAAATATAATAATGAATTTTTTATATCCTTTCAGGAAATGGGATGCGGCTATCCGAAATTAGCTGCAGATATCCACCACTTCCTTTTCTTTATTAACAGAGAATTAGTTTGATTCATTGGGAAAAAATGATTCCAAGTTGTTTTCTGTCGTGAATTCAAAG